CCCATTGCTGCCTGGAAATTGCATATCTTTAGCAGGAAGGACTGGAAGTTGTAGATTTTCCTACCCAACACATCCATCTTCCTGCCTTCTTTATTGGTGGGAGTAACATGTGGCTTCCCTGAAGCCTTAGACGCATTCGCATAGACAATAACAGAGTTGGGAGCAGGATGCTTAGACAAGAAATTGACTTCATCTCCGTAATCAGAGTAAAGAGCTGGGAAATGTAGTTGAGGCTCAGTGGTTGAGAAGACTCTCAATCGATGTCGCCAAAAATGGGATCATCTGTTGGAGGAGGTAGAAGTTGTGTTTGCATTTTCAAAACATTAGCCATTCTGGTCACCATCTGTGAATAAGAGGAGAAATCCTCAGAGGGAGAGAGGATGGATGGGGTTTCCCTGTATCTGACTCAAAAGAGTCCGCCTCCACTGGTGACTGGGCTTGCAAAGGAGCGAAAATCTCCTCATCTTGATTGGAAGAGACCTCACAAAGCTGGTCATCTTCCTCAAATGGAACTCTATGCACAGCAGTCTCAGCTAAGGATAACTGAGTGTTTTGTTGGGAACTTTTAGCCCTCGACATCGAGGTAGATGAAGTCTTTTTAGAAGCCTTCATATACTGTACATAATGGGTGGAGTAGCATGAGCTTGTTGATGTTGATGTGGAGAAGGTGAAGAACTCGAGGTCGAAGAGGGAGAATAGCACCTCCTTCTGTGCCTGCAGTAACTACAAGAGGAAGAGGACGTTCGTGCTGAACGACTACATCCGGATTGTTCATGCCTGTGTCTCTTCCGACATTGGAAAGTCTCCACGTCAGAATCACGACGTTGATCAGAAGAAGAATGCCGCCTTTTCGACCCCTTTTTGCGAGGAGGGAGATCTCTCCTCGGGGAGCAAGAGGGGGAATGCGGAGTCTCAGTCGCCCGGCCAGCAGATGCAGGGCCAAGATGGACAGAATGAGGGCTGGATAACACAGCGTCCTCAAATTTATCCAGACTGAGTGAATGCCCAGGCTCAAGTGGTGCCTCAGGTTGCTGGGAGAGTGGCAAAGATGGAGCCGCTTCAGATAGGGATTCATGGTCCCTTGAGGAATCCTCCAAAATCTGTGAAGGCAGTGAGGGTGTAACAGGTGGAAGAGAGGTGATCTCTTTAGCCTTGGACTTCTTAGGCTGTCCCACCTGTTTTTTAGCCTTTGCAATGTCATTGGGAACAGACCCCTTAGATGTAGAAGGAGCCTTCTTGGAGGGACCTGAGGTGGCTTTCTTAGAAGGCTTAGATGACTTGGAAGTTGATGTAGAGTGAAGAGACACAGTCATCTCAGAATGAGGGGTCCCTGAAGGATTGGAGGAAGTCTCCATCTCTGAGGGATGGGTTGCAAACAGTGTCTTTTCCCAAAGATAAAGTTTAAGTCTCTGCTGGCGCGCTTTCAAAGCAGCCTTAGTAAATTCTTTACAATGGCGGCAAGTAGACGTATTGTGCGCATCTCTGCAGCAAAATAAACAAAGACTATGTTTATCATAAAAGGGTATCTTCCTGGAGCACACCTTACATTTACTAAAAGGGCCTGTTGGGGACATAAAACAGTAGACAGAAGGCTATAGGAGCCTAAATTCTCACGGTAAGCAGGAGATAAGTGGATAATGGAGCCTCCCGCTGAGCTGATAATGGCGCTTCCCGCTGAGGCAATCAGCCTGGCAATCTGGCAATCCACAAAGCGTGGGAAAAACCAGTCAGACAAGAGCCAAAGTCCATCAGGCAAGAGAACAGTTGAAGCAGTCCAAGATTAAGGGGCAATAGAAGCAAGAATAGCCAAAAATACAGTCCAAAATCAAGCCATATCGATCAAAATAGAGAGTTCTGTCTGAAACGTTCCTAGCACAATGGCGGAAAAAAAGGAACTGGAGGCGGGGAGGGAATGGAGCATGCGTGCTAGGGGGAACCTAAACTTTGTATCTTTTTCAGAAAAGCTCTAGAAGGTTCCGAAGTTCCAGCGCAGGCGCTGATTTAACCTGAATGCGTGATTCACAGAGACCACACTGAAGAAATATGGTTTAAAACCCAGGCTGATTGCAATATGGGGAAAACTCTCTCCTTTTTCATTGGTTGTGTTTCATTCCAACACATCCCCTGGTCATATTATTGGGGGTTAGAAATATAGCCGCTACTGAGGTGTGCCACTTTTATCTTATCTAGCATCTAGTATAAGTGGTATAGCCTTAAATAAACTTCTTGTGGCTATAAAAAATCTCAAAGCTAGAAAAATTTTAAAGGATTAATTCAAATATAGCAAGCCAGAACAATATTTTAAATACTTGTTTATCAAGTATTTGCAATATCAAAGTCTGCTCTACTGTCTAATTCTCTACTGTCTTGAGAACTTTCCCATCTCCAAGCATCAGACTACAGCTCCTGTCGTCCCTGGCCATTGGTCATGCTGCTTAGGGCTTATGGAACTTGAAACTAGATGATATTTTGAGAGCTACATGTTTTTCAAGCTACAGTCTGAATGAAGGTGGGTCTGAAACAGCTATGTAAAGATAGAGTTGTGTATATATATTGTTGCTCTGTGCCATCAAGTCACTTCTGACTTGTGGGACCCTTTCTGGGGGTTTTGAGGTAGGTAAGATATTCAAGAAGTAGTTTATCTTGTTACCACCCCCATGAGTTTCCATGGCCAAGCAGAGAATACATAGAAACCAGATCCTAGTCCAACATTCATATTAACTAACTCTACAGGCATGTATAAATAAAATAAAATAGTTATCTACAAATAAAGATAATCAATTCTTACAATTATATTTTAAAATATAACATACATTTTGTAGTAGACTATTTGGTTGCAGATGCCCTACTTTTACACTATTGCATTAATAATTATATCTAAAGTGTTTGTGCAATTCACGCAAGCCACCACAAACCACAAGAAACAGAAAGGAGAAAAAGAAAAGTGAACAATGGAGCAAGTACCATAATTTGATGGGTAAGAAAATTGCTGAGGTGGTAGTGGAGCCATTGGAGGACCTGTAACAGCACCATCTATGCTTCCTGAAGCAGTCACATTTGGGGGAGGACTGAAGGCCTGAGATTGCTGCTGTTGCTGTTGCATCATCATTGCCATCCTTTGTTGTCTAATATGATGACTTATTAACTCCCTGTTTCGCTGAGCCACCATCTGAGCATTAAGGAAGCCTTGCTGCTAACACCAAAAAAACACAAAAAAACAAAACAAAACAAAACCCAACAAAACAAAATGCATTACGGACTACAAAGAAAGCACTAAAACCATCAGAACAAGAGAAGTATAGAAGTTGTACCTTCATTTCGTAGCAATAATAAGTATCAACATCCAAGTGCTCATAATGGAAGGAATCCTGTGTGACTATGTGCATAAAGGCCGATGAAGGCATCAGCCATAGACTTCAATTTAAACCTTCCTCTTCACCCCCTTCCAGATTTTAAGATTCTCTTGCGATCTATTTCAAGCTATGGAAGCCTGTCTTTTGGGAGTCTTAGGATAGAGGGGGGGAGCCTTTAAAATCCAAAAATCACCACCACTAGTCCAAGAACTGGTATTGGGACCCCTAGCAGTGATTTTTGGATATTAAAGAATGCTCCCTCATTGCTCCCAAAGGCTTCCCCAGGTCGAAAAGGATTCTTAAGGAAGCTCAGAACCAGGATAGGAATAGGAAAGTTTAAATTAAAATCTGTGGCTGTTAACATCATCAACCTGTAGATGTATGGAATTGATTGTGAACAGGATGCCAACCATTATATACTACTGCAAATTCATACACTAAAAGATAGTGTCTAACTTTATATAACCAAAATGGTACTCTTTCTGCACAAGACAGCAGAGCCAGTGAATACCAAGTTTGCAGATGTTTCCAAACATATTTCAGGAAGTAACTCATAGACTAATGAGAACTAAGGATTTTATTGTTCTTGAAATGCTGAATGACTGTCGAGGGAGGGGAAGGGACAGAAAAGAATGGAAAACAGAAGGGGCAGAAAAGAATGGAGTAAGCACTCCACTTTACTTGTTACCTAGTTTTACTTGTGCAACCTCAGTGTTGAGTCAAAGGTGGAAATTCCATGCTTGCTGGACCACCTGTGCCCACAAGTCCCAAACTCCTGAATAAAATTTAATCAGGGCTTGAAAAATTTTAGAATGTCTCACCAGTCACTCAAAAATTTCACCAGTCAGCATGACCAGACTATAGCCTTGCAATTTATTAGAATTGGGAATCACTGATTTATACTCTCAGATTTGGGTTGCTTTATTACCTGCGTCATGAAGCTTGTATTTTGATTGCTTTTCTTTCGAATGTCTCCAGCAAAAATAAAACTGAAAGCAAAAGCACCTGGCCTCTTAAGGAGCCATGGTTCCCTCCCACCCCAGGATGTATTTGGTTGAAATTGGGAACAGGGACTCTCCATATTCTCCAGCATAGGACTACTCTACATTCTTCTGCAGAGTTATAACTCTATGTACCACTCGAACTCTCTTCTCGCAAGAAGAGGGCAGTTTTCCTTTTGCAATGGGAGAGTGGAGGGGAGGACTGCAGGATTAGAGAGAGTGAAACAGGTGGAGGGGAAGGAGGAAGGGAGGGAGGGAGCTGTGACTTGCCGAGCAGCATTTTTAACTCATCAAAGACAAGTGAATGAGTGCTTTGTTCAAGCCCTGAAAATTTTCTATGACTGTAAGTTAGATTTAATAGATAACACATCCAAACGAATTTAAAGCCATTGAAACAGCATGGTTCAGCTACATGAACAGGGCAAAAAGGGGTTGGGGTAGAAGACATAGCACTGTGTTGATATTTAGAAACTGCAGACAGACATAAAGGGGTCAAAAATATAGAAAAACTAAAAGTGGGAGATCACTGTACAATCTGATTTGCAACACTGCTATATGGAATAATTGCAATGGTGAAGATGCTGACAGAGAAAACAGTGACAATAACTCACTTGTGATCCCATCTGGGGAGGCATAATAGGTCTCATCATTGATGCATTAGCAGGATTAGCATTCTCCATTTTTATATCAAGTGTTTGACGCGTCTGATTCAAAAACTTAAGAGGAAGCAACAGTTAGCAGAACTACATCAAAAAACATCAAACAGATTTCTTTAAAACACAATTTATACTACAAATACAAGTAATGTAGAATCATCAAATGAAACTGAAAACCTGTTCTCATCAATTATTCTGAAAAGAAGACTAGTAGAACATAAAGATATGAACCTAAGCATTTATTTTCAACTTAATATGCAACAGAATTACTAGGAAAAATGTAATTCAGGAAACCATCACCAGCACTTGGGATCTCAGAAGTTCTGAACTGAATTGAAGACAACAGAAGAGCAATAAGGAATAAATATGTTTGCTCAGAAATAACATATATCATCAGATGCTAAGTTTAAACAATATAATACACTGTCTTAATCCTTTGCTACAAGATAAAGGTTCTCTCTTCAGGAAGGTGCTATAAATTAACTAAATTACCTGCTGCCCCTGAAGCCTCTGTTGGAGCTGCATGCGTAGTTGCTTTGGCGTATTTGTTCTTGGCCTCATGACATTTGCTCGAGGATGCATACTTTGCATTGGAAAATTGCTCTGCTGATTCATCTGATTCATCACAGAGTTAAATGCTGCCTGTTGGCCTTGCATGCTACTAAAACCTCCTGGCATTGCTGCTCCCTGTCCCTGGTAGGGTTGACCATATATTGGAGGCTTCTGGTCAATCATTATCGTAGATTCTTGCCCATGAAAGGATTCTTGTTTGGGTTCCAAAGCTTGCCCCTTTAAAGAACACAGAATTTTCAAATATACTTTACACAACACAACAGCATATTAAAGATTTTTGAGTTATACAAAAAAACTCTGCATTTTTTAAAACTGGAGGGGTTGTCTTAACCTAAACTCTGATATACAAACTGAATTATCAATCAGATTTGAGGATAGTCGAGAAGAATTCAAATCTTTTGTGCAAAAGTATACTATAACTTTTTAAAAGTTGAGTCATGGCAACTGGGCTTCTCTCTTGCTAGGCTGAAATGTTTCACTATTCATCCAAACAGCTTCTTCAATCTGAGGAGAGTTGGTACGATAACCCTGATATATCCTCCACATTGGTTTCACTTCCCCCTGGTCTGAATAGGCTCGTTTGATGACCAAGACTATTCATTTTGGACTGAGAAGATAGAGGTTAGGGAGGCCATACATGTAGAAAATATAGAAAATAGAATATAGAAAAGGCATATAGAAAATCCCTCACTGAAGGGGGTGGGGGGGTGGAGGCCTTAGATGCAATCTGTCTCCTATTTATCATGATGCCCTTTCATCGGTCCCCAGAAGGATTAGGGACAAACACAAGAAAGATCACTGTTAAGGACTGTCAACTACCCATAACAATGGGTGGAGAAAGACTGCAGGGCCCTATTCAGACTAGGGAGAAGTGAAACCAAAGTGGAGAATATATGAGGGATCTCCTACCAAGTCTCCCTAGATTGAAGAAGCTGCTTGGATGAGTAGTGAAACATTTCAGCCTAGCAAGAAAAGAAGCCCAGAGTGGTTGCATAGATCAGATGGGAGGGATACAAATCAATCAATCAATCAATCAATCAATCAATTAATTAATTAATTAATTAAATAATTAAATACAGAGACTCTTGCATAACAAACAAACAAACAAACAAACAAACATTTCAACCTAACAAGAAAGAAGTTCAGTTGCCATGACTCCAGATAACCGCACCTGGATGACTGAGAATCTTGACAGATACAACTTTTTGAATACAATATTTGATGGAAGCATATGATAAGTTAAAACAAAGAAAAACTCAGAATAGTGTTTCTTCAGACTAGGGGCTTCTGACAGTAAGACAAACCCCAATGTCCAAGATCCTCAGGTACCTGTGCACATTCAATCCTGGGTGAAACTATGGCAAGGCTAAATATTCTTTTCCAGAACTAACCAAAATAGTGACAGTAAGAGCAACGTGGTTACCATTACACATCCCTTTTGCATAGTCGAAGGGGAACATCCTCACAGATGGATCATCCCTCCCACCCTCTCATTTTCTTCATGAGGCAGCATTGTTAACCAATCACACTGATTCAGAACACTCATTAACAGGTTGGATAACCCTGAAAGTTCAGTCTCTTCTCCAGCTGCTTAACACAAGGAACTCACAAAATCAAAAAGCAACACCTGTGCAAAGGAGGTCAGAAGAAGTGAAAGACTCACTCTGTCTCCTTGGGCATGGGGTAGGGAAGGAGACAGTCCTCCTTCACGCACACAAAATTTAAGTACCAGTGTTCCTTTTTCATGTAATTGGGGAGAACATCCCGGCAAAAGGAAATTAACTAAGCCCATAACACTCAGGGAAGGAAAGAAGGCCAAATATCCATCCTTTGAGAAGGAAACAATTCAGTGCTAGGGCCCGAGGTGTTCCACTATCTACCATGATATCCAACTAGCAAAGGATGCTTCTATGGAAGCAAAGAAGTCCATTCTGTAATGTTGAATAAAGACCAAACCTTCCACAAGCTGCCTTACAGACATCTTCCAACAGTAGACTAGTATTAAAGGCAACCACAGTGGCTGTGCTCCTGGTGGAATGGGCAGTGAGTGACTTAACAGCTTTATGCCACTGAAGCTTTTAAGCCACCTGACTAGGTGGACTGTGACAGCTTTCTCCCAATGACAGTAGACTGGAAGGATACAAAGACTGAAACTGTCTCCTAACTTGTCTGCTTCTATGTGAATACATGTCTACTATAACCGGAAATAGATTCGAAGTTTCCTAAGCTACTCCTATCAAAACAGAATCCATCACCTGTCAGACACTTCTGAGAATCCAGTTTCACTTGATCAGAACTGTTAAATTATGACCACTACGATATCACATCACCTCAACTACACTGTAGAAAAGACAGCTGAATATTTAATTATAACATAGTAGAAGCACAATTAAGAGGAAATGGTTCTTAGATGAGAAGCATTGCTTCATTTTTTTTAAAGGAACCATTTTCTCAAAATAAATTTTCAAAGGGGTACTGCAACACCTTGTTTATAGATGAGATCTGCATGACTTGTAATACAGCACACTGAATTCAGCTCACCATTTTGATCAACCTTTTCCTTTACTCCCACCCCAGAACAGTAAGAAAAGTAGACTACAAGAAAAGCAGATGGTGGGCAGGGTTCAGTTTTGAGTTGGAAATTGCAAAGACCTAAAACTACTATATTTTTCGCTCCACAGGACACACTTCCCCCACAAAAAAAGTGGGGGGGAGTGTGTGCGTCTTATGGAGCGGATACTGGCTTCCTGCCGCCACCATCGCCAGGGAGCGCTTCCGGATGATGAGCTGGTTGGGGTTGAGTTTTTTTTAAATTATAATTAATTCTAAAGAAAACAAGTACAGTGGTGCCTCGCAGAACGAGCGCCCCGTTTAATGACGAATCCGCATAGCGATGCGGATTTTGTGATCGCAAAAGCGATGTTTCCTATGGGGAAAAATCGCAAAGCAATTTTTCCCCATAGGCTCCATTTTCCCCCAGCTGACTGGCGGGTGCTTCGGAAGGAGCCCTCCCCCGCGGTCTCTCCAAAGCCAGCGCCGCTCAGCTGTGGGAGAAGGCTTCGGAGCGACCATGGGGGAGGGTTTTCCCCGCGGTCTCTCCAAAGCCAGCGCCACCCAGCTGGGGGAGAAGGCTTTAGAGTGACTGCAGGGGAGGGTTTTCTCCGCCGTCTCTCCGAAGCCAGCGCCGCCCAGCTGGGGGAGAAGGCTTCGGAGCGACCACGGGGGAGGGTTTTCTCCGTGGTCTCTCCGAAGCCTGTGCCGCCCAGCTGGGGGGAAATGGCTGCCCGCAGTGTTTTCATGCCTTGCTTACCGAGGCGGCGAAAATGGTGGCCGGATAGGGGATTCTTCGCTTACTGGTGAGTTTTTCCCCAATGGGTCACCCCCGCATAGCGAAGAATCCAGATAGCGACGTTAATCCTTGAATGGATTAACATCGCTATGCAGGGCACCACTGTACCATATTTTTCGCTCCATATGCCCCCTCCCCACTGCCAGTCTTTTTTTACCTTCCCAACCCAAGCCCGACAGCACACGGAAAGAAAACAGGATTTTAGGCCCGGCCAATCGAGACAAATCTTCTTTGGCTTCCTGCCGCCACCATCGTCACCACGCCGCCCTTCTCCTCCCTTTCCAGGGCAGGGAGCGCTTCCGGATGATGAGCTGGCTGGGGCGGAGGTTTTTACATTCTAATTGATTCTAAAGAAAACAACTACCATATTTTTCGCTCCATATGCCCCCCCCCACTGCCAGTCTTTTTTTACCTTCCCAACCCAAGCCTGACAGCACACGGAAAGAAAACAGGATTTTAGGCCCGGCCAATCGAGACAAATCTTCTTTGGCTTCACGCCGCCGCCATCGCCACCACGCCGCCCTTCTCCTCCCCTTCCGGGGCAGGGAACGCTTCTGGATGATGAGCTGGTTGGGGCAGAGTTTTTTTCCTTCAAATTATTATTATTTACTTATTTAATTTTAAATTAGGTGCGTCTTATCATCAGGTGTGTCTTATGGAGCGAAAAATATGGTACATAAAGAAAAAAGACTGCCCAAGAGGGAAAAAATCTACACTGTATTAGAGCAAGAGTGTACCACAATTTACCCATATATTCTAATGGTACTCAACCAAGCAAAACAGCATTTGTGACTTACTTGATTTACAAGATCAGGAATTCCCAAGGCTCTGTCAATTTCTTCAAGGCTAGTGACATCTGTACTGCTCAACAATGTGTGTAGTTGATCTAAAAGGGCCCTTTCATCGCTTTGGCCATCAACACTTGGAGCAGAATATAAGAGTTCATCCAGGGAATTTCTAAGCAGCTGCCTAGGAAAGTCAAGCGTTTCAATACTAAGAATATTGATGAGAGTTTACATATGTCCTCATAGCTTCCACTATTCAATAAAAGGAAGGCTCAACTTCCTCACCACATACAACAACAACAACATGGAAATACATTCAATGTTATTTAGCTAGTGAGCAAGATCTCAAAACTGAATGGCCTACTGTAGTTGCAACCTAAGTCACAACTAGAGTAGGCATATTTGAATCAACGGAACTTACAGAGGCGTTGCCTTACCAAATCTCTGCTGATTCAAGAGCCTAGCCTACTCTAGGTCAACTTACCAAACGAAGCCACTGAAATGTTAACCCAAAATACACTTCAGTTTCTGTTTTCTTATACGATAGTTCTTTAAAAAGAAAAGAACATAAGTACCCCCAGCTTTCTGTCCAATACTTCACAGAATGAAATATACTAGAAAGTATTTATTGTGTGGCAATTTTACAATGTATTTGAGTCTTGAATGATTTGAGATGGTCTGAATTTGAGTGTTTTTCTGATTCCTCAAAATATTCTGATAATATTTGACCATGAGGGGCAGGAATAGATGCAGTCAGTTAAGTAGCACTCCATGAACCTCATATTACCTGTTTTGTGAACCTCGAGAACCTTGTTCCATGGGTAGCACATTATCAGGCCATGTGTTTGGCTGGTTAGATGGGCCTGGATGTCCATAAGGATTTCCTCCCATACTAATATTAATCTCATTTGGTCCTATAAAATAATGTTTTGCAATTAATTTTTAGCCACTCAACAGCAGAAGGCAGTATTCAAAAATCAGTACATTCAAAAAGGATCAGTAACATTTTAAAAGATAAAAATGACAGCAAAACCATTATACATCTATTTTAGCATTAAATAAATTGGCCTGAACTCTTACTAATAACTGATAAAGACTAGCATGAGACTGTGCCCTAACAGGTGTCCACAAGGATTTTAGAAGTTGGGCACTTCAACTTTCGATGTCATCACTTGGAGGAAGCACCAAGATTCTCCCACAGTGAACTCAACAGCAGTGACAGAGTAAGCAGATAGATTAAATTATTTAGTCTAATAACAATAATATTCTAAATTAGTTACAACTGTTGATCATCAGGATTTAACTGATTGATCTTTAGATCCACATATTCATTTGCAGAAGAGTTAGACACTGAACAACCACTAAAATAATCTCAATGAATACTCCTAAGTGCCTCAATGAATATTTATTGATAATACTTCAAGATTTTCTGAAGCACTACCTTATTTCTTTAAAAAGCACTGTACAAGGATAGATCATTATGACAACATATTTTTCAGATTAGGAAATGGAAAAAGTACTTTCACTGCTAAGTTTTGAATTTGAAGCTTTGTCAAAGTCATTAATACTTTATCAGCCCATACTTTATCATCAGCTGTACATAACTAGCTGCAGCTCACTACATGTAGAATCATGAAACTACCCATTGCTGGCCAATACACTTGAGGAATTTCTGCTGCCTACAATGTTTATAATAGAAATGGTGGTTTCAGTAAATAACCATTAACTTACTTGGATGAATCATCTGCTGTTGGAGCATGGATCTGGTGCCAGGCATGCTATTTGATCTCATGGGCAAACCAGGCATGGACCCACCAACTGAAGATCGAGAAAGAGAAGAGGTACAATCTACTCCTGGCCTTATCATTGAACCAGAAGGTGTAGGTTCCATCCTGCTCATTTTTGGGCTTTGTACACTCCAATCACCTGCTGAGTGCTGACCCACAGGCATATTTCTGTTGGATCCCCCTGCAAAAAACACATTTACCAAAGATTACTCTCCCTACAAGAACATTCAACCATACTTTAAAATGAAAACCACAGTTTGAATGTTCAAAAACACGTCTCTATGTGTGAGGTGTATATCTGCTTCCATTTCCTACCTGCTCAGAGCTCAAAAACCCTAAATATAATGGCATCTAGAGGTAGAAAGGAACAGCTTGTCTAAAATTTGAGTTTTTCACACTAGACTAATAGCTGATGCAAATGGCAGTTTGCAAATCTCTATTTCAAAATATTGCATCCAATTCACAAATGCTAAATGACTGCAAAATAGCCTTTGTTTTCAGACATCAAATCTAAGCTATAGTAAACCTTTTAGGCTTATGTGTGAATTGGATCAAATGATCTCAGCCAAAGTTAGCAAAATACAATTCTAGCCATTCTTCCTGTACCTATCAAAAGACTGTGGTATTGTTAAATGTAAAAAAGAAAACAGAGAAGAAAAAATCGAAATCAAATTGACAAACCCATATTAGCACCAAAATTTTCCTGGTTTTCAATCATTCTTGGACTGCCACCCATCATGTTTTGCTTCTGTAATATGGACAAAGCATTGATATTCTTTGCTGGTGTGCCTGAACCCATTGATATAGGGCTGTCTAAAGATATGGCTCTGCTGAAAGGAGGACGAGTGGTCTGCACAGATTGAGGACTTCTCATACCTGTTAAAAAATTTAGATACAATTGTCACTTTAAGCCTAAAAATAATAGTAGCTCCTTGTTAAGTTAAAAACCAACAGGAAAATAACATAACCCAATCCTAAACAAATATTGCTGCTGGGAACTAGGGAACGATAACAGAAATACAATTATATTTCCATAAATCCAAAGTGGTGTACCTTTTTAGAGCACAAAGTGTTCTATAAACATACATCTATTTGAGTGTATCATGATTCAATTCAGAATTTCCAGAAGCAGCATAAAGGATAAACATTGGACCTAACAGTTGTTGTGGGTTTTTCGGGCTCTTTGGCCGTGTTCTGAAGGTTGTTCTTCCTAACATTTCGCCAGTCTCTGTGGCCGGCATGTTCCGAGGACAGCACTCTGTGCTCTGGTGTAGTTGGCTTGGGAATGGCTTGGGAGTGTGCTCTGGTGTAGTTGGCTTGGGAGTGGGAGTGCCCAAGCCAACTACACCAGAGCACAGAGTGCTGTCCTCTGAAGATGCCAGCCACAGAGACTGGCGAAATGTTAGGAAGAACAACCTTCAGAACACGGCCAAAGAGCCCGAAAAACGCACAACAACCATTAGATCCCGGCCGTGAAAGCCTTCGCGAATACATTGGACCTAACACACTACAAACAACTTAGTGGGGTTCATTGGTTTACTCATCAAAGCTGACAACTTTGACGATTTGTGTGTGTGTGTGTGTGTTTGTGTGCATTACAAAAAAATTAAAGCTTATATTTTTCTAAAGTTCACAACCTGAACTTTGACGATTTGTGTGTGTGTGTGTGTTTGTGCGCATTACAAAAAAATTAAAGCTTAAATTTTTCTAAAGTTCACAACCTCTGAAGAATGTGTGCAAGATAATTACAGTTTATAGTAATTACAATAAGCAATACTAATTTAAAGGACTAAGCATCACTTATCAAGAAATATAGTTTAAATATGCATTTAACAATGCCATTAATGTTAAGCAAAAAATTAGATCTAGTCCAAGCAAAGTCTTTACCCAGTGGTGTACTTCCTTGGCATAAGGGTTGCTTATTCCCCATATTACTTCCATTTGTAGATACAGGATTTCCACAAAAATCTGAGCTAGTTAGGTCACCTAAGATTGCATCTAAATTATCCACCAGATCTCTACTCATCTGAAAAGAAAAACAAAGGTTTACAATTTAATTTCATCCAGTCAGTCAGGAATTCCTTACACTCAGGAATGTAAAAGTGGATATAATCCCTAAAATATTATGACTTTGAAAGTTTCTGTATTCTTTATTCATGTGCTTACGTTCAATGTGCTCAATTTAGACAAGGAATATTTCAGAAAATGTATCTGAATATATTAGGGCCAGCATTTTTGACCCCTCCTTTCCTTCAGCAGCCCTCTCCAGGTCCACAAACATGTCCTGGGTTTTTTCTAGCCTTCCAAAATAGTTTTTAAGTATGTGGAGGTGCAGGAGGGATGTAGTATTTTCTTTTTCTTTTTTTGTTCCAATCAGAGGATTATTACAGTATATACAATTTGTTTCATCTCATCCTATTCTAACACAATACTGATCTAATCTTTTCTAATTAAGTCAATGTAGATTCAATCCAGGTGTAAAGCAGTTCCCATTTGTTTTCCTCCAGTTGTTGTTCTGCCATTTAGTGCATCTGTCAAAATGTCCATTTCTGCCAGTTCTCCATCAGGGTTGAACTACAGTTCCTAGAACACCCTACCTAGCTATTGTTTAATTATGCAAGTCAAGGGGAAGTTGTCTGGCCCTCGTTTGTCTTTTTTTTTAAGCATTTTTATTAATTTTATCAACTACAAACAGATATGCAATATAAATTAAAATAGGAAAAAAGAAAAAGAAATGAGAACAAAAAAGGGAAAAAAACCCAAACCCCACCCCCTTTGAGGACAGAGATTCAGACCTCATTGCATCGCAAATTTCTCGAGTTTCCAGAGAGCATTGAAAGCGAAAGAGGAAAAACAAAGTCCATCAATCATTTTGCCCTATCTTCAGATCTGTCCCTGGGCCCAAACATATATTTCCAACTTTGTTTTGCATAAGGGATGTAGTATTTTCCATCTCTTGCTACTGCTCACAGAAGCTACTTCTGCAGCTTCAGTGACAGCACTAGTTATCACCCTAGGTATGCAATGCTGATCAGACAATTTCCTTTTTGGAACCACTGAAAACCATATACCTAATTTGTCATATGGTGTTTTAAAAATAGATTGATCTTCTAACAAAATTATTTTAAAAATCTATAAAATGAAGACGCCTAAAGATATGTTCTTTAAGAAATCATTCCATTGTTTCTCTTTCAGGAAGTAATGCTTTCCAGGAGTAACTCCTACTATGACATGTGCATACAACATTTAAAAACAAAGTAAGAATAGTCATGTTGCAATGTTAATAGCTAAAGAATTAAATTCTCCAGACATAAAACTTCTTTAAACATAGCTTTAAAAGCATTTGATATATTGTTATTTTGGGGGTCAGGTAACTTTATTTTTTCAGAACTTCCCCCCGCCCCCCCCCACACCCCTCTAACAGTACAAAGAATTATAGAATAATGGAGTTGGACGGAGCATGTAAGACCAGAGTCCAGGTTCCTGCTCAATTAGGAATTCACATCAAAACATACCTGACAAATGGTCATCTAATTTTCTCTTTAATTCCTCCAGCATTAAAGCACTCACCATTTCTCAAATAATTAGTTCATTTGTCATATTGCTCTATCAGGTAGGAAGTACTCCCTGATACGCAACTGAAATCTGGCTTCACATATATTGAGCCCATTATTACATTTCCTGCACTTTGGGATGCATGATAACAGATCCTGCTGCTCCTCTGTATGACAATCTTTCAGAACACAGCCAAGAAGCCCGAAAAACCCACAACGACCAATCTTTCAAGTATCTGAAGAGTGCTCTCATATCTCCCTTTAGTCTTATTTTGTCAAAGCTAAGCATGCCAGTTCTTTCACCTTTCCTCATAGGGATTAGTTTCCAGTACCTGATCATTCTTGTTGCTATCCTCTGAAATCATTCCAGTTTGTCAGCATCCTTTTTAAAGTGTGGTGTCCAGAACTGGATACAATACTCACAATGAGGTTTACCCCATGCTGAACTAGTACTTCACAGGATTTGAGGCTATACTACTGTTAATGCAGCTTAAAATGGTATTTGCTATTCAGCTTGTGATCTACAATAATTCCAAGATCCTTCTCACTCACAGAATTACTGAACCAAGTATCCCCCATCTTGTAACAATGTGGGTTTTTTCCCCTACGTGTAGAACTTTGTTCTGATTCCTGTTAAATTTCATTCTTTTCTTTTCAGCTTGCTGCTCAAGCCTATCAGGACTTTTTTTTAGTTTTATTTCTGTCTCCTAGAGCAGGGTTTCCCAACCCCTGGTCCGTGGCCCGGTACCAGGCCGTGGCCTTGGCAGGACCGGGCCATGGAGACAGATCTCATGCCCCCCGCACACACTCTCCAAACACACGGCCACCTACACATAGGGTGCCCTGCACAGGCCCTGCCCCCCCAACCAGTCTGTGGTTTGGAAAAGGTTGGGGACCACTGATTTAGAGTATTAGCTATTCCACCCAATTTTGTGTCATCTGCAGATTTGATATTCCCTGCACCTCCTCATCCAAGTCATTCATAAAAATGTTGAACAGGACCAGGCTCAAGAGTAAATCCTGTTGCACCCACCCCTCCTTGTTGCTTCCTCCCAGTTTGAGAAGGAGCTAATGACAAGCACTCTCTGAGTATGATTCTGTAACCAACTATGTATGATAGTTGTTCTATCCAGGTCACACATAATTAGCTTGCTAATCAGAATATCATGGGGTACTTTGTCAAAAGCTTTGCTGAAATCAAGATATATCATGTCGAGAGCATTCTCAATGACCACCACTGTTTCATTATTTGAAAAAGAAGGGTGTGTTTTTTTTTAAGCAAAAGCTTGTACAGTATCTTTCTACTTTGCACTGGAACACTTACCTCTTCAGTGGGTTCTGCTTTTATTTTCATCTCCTTTTCTTGACTTGAAGTAGGAATGGCAGAATTACAGCACTGTCCCATCTTATCATCTACATTTTCTACCTTAGGTTTAATATCCTTTGAAAGTAGGTCTTTTCCATCACCTTTGTCAAGCAAGTATCTAAGCAAAGCATGGTTCTCTTTCTTTTTAGGACTCATTTGTTCCTGTTTCACAACTCCTTCTCCACAGGAAACATTACTACTGTCCTGGTATGTATCTTTGCCAGTTGCTTCAGCTGTGATTTTCGCTACTTCTGCTGGAGAATTACCATTCCGTAGCAATTTATGCAAAATCCTATGCTTTTCTTGCATATTTGATGAAGACACCCCACCAGATGTAGAAGAGGAGACACCTGATGAAGGGCTTGTAGCATTGGGAGAGGGCTCTTTGCAACTAGAATCTAAGGGAGAATTTGACAGTGTTGAATGCCCTCTATCATCTGAAGAACAAGTTAGTAACTGAAGAAGCTTTTTATGCCCTTTGCTTTCAGCTGGTCCTCTCTGATCAGAATTCTCAAGGCTCTCCTCTTTGCTATCCTTGTTGGTAAGAGAATCCCTGCTGTTTGACTGACACTGAGAACTTTCCACTTGTTCACAAAACATGCCAGGAGGGCTTTTTGAGTCCTGGTTTCCCACTTTACTTTGTTGAGAAAGATTCATACTTGGAGAACTGTCCAGTTTGGGACCTGGTGAAGAAAGCGTAGACAGAAGTGAAGTTCCAACTCCATCACTAATGGCCTGAAGAGCACTCAGTGAGCTGCTTGAAAAACTGCTGTTGCTAGTATTATTGGCAGGTCCCATTGGCGAGTGCACACCTACAGGAAAATAGCAACCTTATTACCATTTAGAATTTTTTCAGTGAAATGCTATGTATTTCGAAAAAGACTATTAGATACTTTCAAAAGCAGAGTAAAATGAAGAATTATGGCCCATATATCCTGAATAATGCTATTTTTCATAATGTTCTGATGGCAGGCATGGCGTGTCTGATTGTATTGTGTTCTTTTATATTGTTTCTTTATTCATGCTATAAGGCTTCTATAACATAATAGCTGAAAAGTAGTGGGAAGGACAGTAAAAATTATTAATTTTTTTATTTGTTTGATTGATTTATATACTGTCCATCTAACCAGAGGTCATGGCATTCTGGGTGATACACAACATATGACAGTAAACAATAAGCAAAAGGTCAAACATTAAACCAAAGCATCAGCATGAATATAAAAAAACAATACTAGCATAATAAAACATAATAACAGACATAAAACAATTGAACATTTAAACATTTAAAATATTTAAATACCAGTTTCAGGCCAAAGCACCAGGTGGCAAGCCTCTACCTAGCACTTGGACTAGAGACCCAATTACATCAAGCTGGGGAATCCCAAAGTCATCAAACAGCTGCAGGATGGGAGTTTAGCCTCCCACACTGATAGAACCCCCACCCACAATAACTAATAAATGCTAATTCATTGCCAAATGTGTATCATCTTATACAGATTCTTTTTAAAAAGAAAAAGAAAAATGGTCAAGTCATCAAAAGGTACATTATTACCTGCTGCAGGAGAAAACTGGTGTAAATTCACTTTTGGACTCCCACGATTCCTGGGGGATATCATTAAATTCTGTTGACTGGAATTTAATCCTGGGCTGCCATGAGGCGGGCTGCTTATATTTAATCCATAGGTACTTTGATAAGAAGACTGCAGTCCTTGACCAGAGTTCACTGATCCCATGTTTCCAGGGCCACCATATCTAGCACCGCTCATATGACTCATTAAGTTTGGATCACCCATACCATAGTTCCTGTTCTGCAAAGCTATGTTTTGCCCAGGCAACATGTTTATAACATTGCCACCTGAATTTGCAGTCCCATTGGAAGTTGCTCTGATATTCTGCCCCGCTGTACCAGGATTTAGACGATATCCATTTTGGTCTCTGAAATTTATCCACATACATAAATATACAAAGTTCCAGCAATCAGTGTGCAAGTATTAACAATAACACATTAAACAATCTTCTTATACTTTCTTTTAGGAAATTAATGAATGCCAGTATCCATGCCTATAACATCATAACATAATGAGCAGCCTCATATACGTTCTTTACTTAGTAGCTGATTTGGGGTTGTATCTAACAATGGTCATTCTGATAATGCTAAGCTTCCTCTACTTGCTAAAAACCTCTTTTGATCCTTGTGCAAATGTCAAACCAAGCACCTCAACAGTGCTTGCACAAGTCATTCCATAACTGTGGAAAAAATTATTACAAGCACTCCTCACTTAATGACTGAGGTCCATTCCTACCACTAGGTCATTAAGTGAATTGGTCGATGAGGAGCAATACAGGAGTAATAAATCACGTGATGTTAAGGTGCATGGTGAAGACTCAAGAATTTACAAGGCTCATAAGTGTCGCAAGTCTGAGCGGTCAATAAACAGGTAGGTCATTAAGTGAGGAGTGCTGTATTCCTCATTAGATTAGATATTGTTTGCACTGTCTGTCTAACTATCTATCTGATTGACTGATTGTTTGATCACCCATTAGTGCATGCACTATTCCAGGTGTTTTATAAGTTTAAACTTAAAAATCCCACAAACCCCACATAACAGTACATATGACCAAAAACAAACAAACAAAAACCAAAGAGAACAAGCAAAAATAAAATACAGTGGTGCCTCGCTTAACGAGTGCCTCGCTGAGCGATGAAATCGCTTAACGAGGCACTCTGGGCCATCGCTGGAGCATTCGCTCAGCGATGGCCCCTATGGGGTTTTTTCGCTTTGCGAAGATCGCTAAGCGATTCGCTTAGCGATCTTCGCATAAAGAAGCCGGGGAGAACAGCTGATCGGCGGTTCCAAAATGGCCGCCGGAAGGTCCGCACATTAGTGCATGCACTATTCCAGGTGTTTTATAAGTTTAAACTTAAAAATCCCACAAACCCCACATAACAGTACATATGACCAAAAACAAACAAACAAAAACCAAAGAGAACAAGCAAAAATAAAATATTAATATTAACAGCATTGAGGAGCAAAGTTGTTCTCCTAACTTCTTGTACAACTTTTGTAGAAAAACTCTTCATGTTCTTTTATTTATTTATTTATTTGATTTGATTTATACCCCGCCCATCTGGCCTAAAAGGCCACTCTAGGCGGCTTTGCTAGTGTAATATTTGCTACAATTCAGCAACAGAAACCCACTGTGAAATCTAAAACCCTTTCTTAGCCATTGCTTTACCCTTTCCATCCACCAACAGCCATTTAAAGCACAAATGTTAATCTACTAGACCTCTCTACATAGGCCCCAACTACTAGGAGTAAAACTTAATTCCAGAAAGACAATAAGATAGAGTGAGGAGTCTGGAGGTCTTCTATCAGGAGGCACTTTGAATGGCATTTGGTAATTTAGTACCTCTCAGATCAACTCTATTGAGGAAAGTCATTTGTGGTGAAAGCAGCAGATGAAAACTGCAAAACTTACTATCTACCCACAAGTGTTATTTATGCATATTTATTAAAACAATATAGAAAAATCAGTAAGCTCAAATGATTCTCAGAAAGTTGCAATTTTCTACACATTCAACCTTCTATGTACAAGATAGAGGCAGAAAGTGTTGCTTCCCTTGTTTTTCTCAACTATCAATGAAGACTACATGTGAATTCACAGCCCTTGCCTTTCTATACTAAAAAATAATCTGAAGGGTAAAGAGATTGCCATTACTGCTCCTGAAAGCCCGTTTGCACCCTGCTTTGCTGTAAATCCAAAACTAGACTTCTGGATTCTATTGATTTCAATTTCCAGGGTTTGTGCAACTCCTAGGGTCTTAGACGCTGAAAAAGGATCCCATACCTATCCAACCTAAAGGAGGTAATACAAGGTTAGGGCCAAAAAAATCTAACTAAAGGGTTAAGAGTCTTAGTGAAAGGCATTCCCATGTAAGTTTTAACAAATGTGCTATATATCTTGAGATAATATGCCTTATCCTTCTCCAGGTAAGTGGGTGGGTGGGTGGGGGAGATACACACCAGATTATATGTATGGAATTTTAAGCTTACTATAGGAAGATACAGCAATATGGCAATTGTATGCATTTCCCTACTATGCCTGAGAGAACAGAAATTCACTGTTTAACTGAAACAATGCTTTGAATTGCCCACACATTGCCCTTTAAATGTTTAATAAAAACATGAACTTTTGAAACTTATTATAGATTATTGATTTCACCTTTGAAGAAAGTGAGTGGAGATAAAACCATGATGATCATTGGTAACTGGGTTTCGGAATAATTTACTTTTCGTTTGTGCTGTAACTACTGTTCCATCTGCTAAGGAAAACCGATAGAGTGGCGTTTCAGCATGCCCCTGTATATAAGCTGTAAGGAAGAACAGATGCTATTAACTGAGCAACAATCTGTTTATATTTCCTATCACAGAAACCAGAACAATATAAAACTGATACTACAACATCAGTATCTTTAAAAAAAAACTCACTTGAGAAGCTAAAGCATAAGGACTTTTTAAAACTCAAAACTTCCCTACCAAAAAACAAAACAAAGGAAAAAAGCAGCCAAATTCACGTTGAAGGGTGTATGTATATTTTATCTTCATATGTGTTCTGCTTTGTTCTTACAAATGCAGTTAGGATGTCAATGAGTCTTAAAAGAGCATGTGCTTTTAAATAACCAACTTCTCTAACTACAGGTAAAACCTAGACTTTATTCCAAGTGTTTTCAAGCACTTATAAAAAAATAACCATACGTTATGAAGAAATTAACCAGCACGACAATACTGAATTCACACATATGGCAAGAACTAACTAACCTGCTAATTATACAGTCTCACAAAGGAAAAGTGACCCAATTTGCTCCACTCACTTGCCCTTTCTAAAAAAGAAGAGGCTAGTTGAAGGAGCAACATGGCATATTTAAATTAAATAAAGAAAAATATATATTTGCACACAAAACAAGCCAGTAATCGTGTTACCATGTCTTCATTAGTTATACATCACTTATTCAGCCATGGGAGATACATAGTTAGTCTGACATAAACAGGTGCTTTATAGAAGTCCATTTTTATTATAAACACATTGGCATATTTAAATTAAATAAAGAAAAATATATATTTGCACACAAAACAAGCCAGTAATCGTGTTACCATGTCTTCATTAGTTATACATCACTTATTCAGCCATGGGAGATACATAGTTAGTCTGTCATAAACAGGTGCTTTCTAGAATTCCATTTTTATTATAAACACATTTATAACAGAAATATTCACTATCTTTATTTTAAATTGATCCTAGATGTGAAAGGAAGGGCGAAACAATTTAGAAAGAAATCTAGCTTCTTGGAATTTGAGTTGTTACCTTCTTGATAGTGACGTTTGTTTGACCAGGGCTGTCCTTCATTCTGACATAAAAATCTTTGAATACAACGACGGATTGTGTCTTCAAATCCAGGTCTCATGGATCTTAATGAGTTTGTGTCTATGTTAACAAGTTTACCTGTTGACCATAATAATAAATTTGAAAACTGTGTACATACATATAGAAACACACAAACTTACAAATTAGGGACTAAAATAGGACTTGTATTTTATAACATCCTTGACATTTATTGAAATAAGCTAATGAATTTACTGTTACTTATTTACTGAATTGGTGTTCTTCAGTACCGACCTGTAACTTTATTTGTAAAATAAATTATTTTTCTCAGATAATTCTTTTATTTATTTATTTTCTCCCTTCTCTTTTGAAACTATGAATAGTTAGCAGTATTATTCTGCTATGATGAACACAGCAAAGAAAGCATGAACTATTATTTCTCTACTATATCCCTCTATGCCCACTTGCCAATGTAAAGTCTAGTGTTTATGTATAAATGGAATGTACACAGACCCTAATCATGTGGCCAGCTCAGAGACCTAGAGGAAGAATTCATAACATGATTAGGCTGAAACCCTGTTCTGTAACTCACATTGCATATGTCTGACAAAGCCATTAACTGCTGCAACTTTTTTGAAACAAAAAAAAATCTGATTCCCCCATCCCCACATTCCAAGGCTCCTGAGGGATCTCTTTTGTCACGGGGAAAGCACTGTGAGCCACTGAAACCTGGTGTGTGTGTGTGTTAATTTCTTTTGTAAAAAATAAAGCATCCTGATGGTCACAATTTTTGTAAATTAAAGACTCCACTCATCCTATAGTCCCCCATATCTTCTCCACAATGAAAAGGGTATCATGAAAGCCTTGCAACCTTTGCAAGGGAATCAAAACAATTTTATTTCTGAAAAATTGGTACAGCTAGTGACATCATCAGTCTTATATGGGGTAATTTCTCACAACAGGATTTGAGCATTGAAAATACATTTCATGAGTTCTTTAAGCATACTTCTCACCTGAAAGATCATGCCTAGTAACAAAACTCTCTGTGTTTGGTGAAAATACTCTTTCCACAGTTGAGATACGACGTGCTACGCATATCATACAGGACTGCAAATCTGCAATTAAATAATTATTGATTATAACTCATTAGTTTTAAAATATATTCTGACATTTAAAGACTATTATGGCATTAGGAGAAATAAAAACCACCGCTCACCACAGTGTTCATATCTGTGATGCGTATCCTGCTGGCCACCTACATCTTCCAGAAGTTCATGTACTGTTTTTACCATCATACGACAATTAAATGTATGGCTCTTCTGTCGGGGTGTTTCATTGGTCCAAGAAACTCCATTTACTAAAATTACAAAGATTTAATATATTGTCACAACTTGGGCAGAAGAGGTCTTTTAAATAATAAATAACAGCAATCATACATTTGCTTTGAAAAAATTCCACAGATAATCTGCGGAATTTGTTAACAAGAACAGAATTTAGGATGTGGATAAATTATAAAGATAAGTTCTGATCTCACATATGGATCTCATGCATCAGAAATGTACAGCATACTATCGAAGGGGGCAAAAAGAGAGGATCTTTCTGAATTTTCAGAACTGGAAACTTTGAAATTAGTGCACATCTTTGGAGGCTATGTGGCATCAAGCCACTATGAGTTAAGTAACCCTATGAATAAATTATCTCCAAAAGGTCTTGTCATTACAGTCTTCCTCAGGGCTTTCTGAATAAAACATGTAACTTCCTTTATGGAGTCCATTCATTTCATGTTCAAGCATCCTTCTTCTATCTTCAGTTCTTCCAAGCATTATTGTCCTTCCTTGTCTTCTCATATGCACAAAGTACATAGACTCAGTTTTAGTTTTTACTGAGAGTTTAGGCTTGCTTTGATCTAGAACCTACCTATTTTGTCTTTCTGGCAGATCACAGTATCTATAAAGGACCACATTTCAAATGAGTTGTTTTTGTTCTGTCAGCTTTCACATTTATACATAGTAATTATTTTGCCCTTTTATTTTGCCTTTTTATTGTATTTTAAATGCTGTAAGCCGCCCAGAGACCTTCGGGTAGTGTGGGCGGCATATAAGTTAAATAAAATAAAATAAAATAAAATAAAATAAATAAATAAATAAATTGGGAAATATGATCTTGGTCCTAATTTCTAACAACACATCCTTACACTCAACGATCTTTCCAAGCTGCTCCATACTTTTCCAAGTTTCAGATTCTCCATTCAAATTGATGACAAAACCAAGACTTAGAAAATCTTTAATAATTTTGATTTTTCTATTTTTAGCATAAAAAGTTACGTAATTCTTCTGTAGTAATGATTTTTGTATTAATATTCAAATGCAACCTTGCTTTTCAACTTTACCTTTCATAAGTAGTTATTTCTAGTCACTGTTATTTTCTGTCAGCAATACAGTATCATTTGCACATCTTTAATTGATGTTCTAGTAATTTTGATTCATCCTTTATTTGCATGTTGGATGCACAGTGGTGCATGTTTGAATGTGTCAGGGAAGCAGATAGAAATACTATCATTATGAATCTAGCCCCCCCCCCCCAAAAAAAGAGTCACCAAAATGGAATGGTCAAAGCTGAGACACCAAAGAAGAGGCACTCATCCTTTTTAGAAATTAACCGTCACACCAGCAAAAGAGAATTGATTGTGCCAGTTGTGACGGGGATAGAGAAATTCTTAAAGGCCAGCTACTGCACAAAAGCATTAGTGGAATGTCACACATTTTCTGAAAAAAATGTCCATATAAAGACAGTACGTGAAAGTTTGGAAATAGAATATTATTCTACATTGCTTAATAATTAAACTAAGATTCATAATCTAATATCTTGTTTGGAATTAATATTTTGTACTGTTGACAAACCCAGTAAGCTCTATTACCTGCGGATTTTGGTAAATTTTTAAGAAAATCCTTCCGGTCCTCCTCATGCAAAATATTGTAAACACTTGTATTAACTAGGTCCTCTTGTTTATATTGCAAATACTGAGTAACATTTTCAGAAACAAATACTATGTTCCCATCTCGATTTACTACAAATAAGAAGCCATCCAATGCCTGGAAACAAAATTATAACAAGATGTTATCCAAACATATAGACACACACTCACTGTCCCTATATATAGTACATTATCAGTCTCTAACAGTTATTCATATGTATAAATATTTTCATGTTACAAAAATATACTGACATAAGTCATACAAAATTAAATGAGGGAGACTGCTTGTTGTGTATGTGACTGCAACCTGATTAAAGATTTACTGCAACTGTCATTTGTAGGATTATGGGGTTGCACAGATATATTTGTGTCTAATCATATGCATTAGCACACTTCCACACTTATCACACGAAAGTGCTGAGCAAAAACCACTTCTAACAGTGGTGCCCCGCATAGCGAGGTTAATCCGTTCCGGATTAACCCTCGCTATGGGAAACATCGCTCAATGAAACGAAAAAACCCATTGAAACGCATTAAACTTGGTTTAATCCGTTCCAATGGGCCCCGAAACTCACAGTTGAGCAATGCTTCCCTATGGCTGGCAGCCATTTTCGCGCCCTCCCCTCGCTTAGTGAGGGCGCGAAAACATTGCGCGCGGCCATTTCGGGGCTTCCGGCGGCCATTTTGGAGCAGCCGAACAGCTGATCCGCGGGTCGCAAAGCGAAGGTCGGCCATAGAGGCCATCGCTTTGCGATCGCATTAGTGATCGTGAAAACGTCCTCGCTATGTGGATTCGTCGTTCTACGGTGCGCTCGCTAAGCGAGGCACCACTGTACACTCACAGCATCAATTATTTGTTGGCAAAGAATATGGAAAATACTGTAATGCCAGTCCACGTAGCTCCTGCCTACTTGAAAGAAGAGGAGGGTTAAAGAGAGGTGTCTGCAAACAGGTATTTATTAACTACAAACAGAACATAGCACATGGCTCTAAGTACAGTAGTGCCCCGCTTAATGTTTACCCCGCTCCATGATGAATCCGCTTAACGATTAGGTCACAAAACAATGTTTAGATAGGAAAGAAACGCTTTACGATGATTGGTTCCCTGCTTCGGGAACTGATTTTTCGCTTTACAACGATCAAAACAGCTGATCGTCGGGTTTACAAAATGGCCACCCGCTGTGCAAAATGGCTCCCCGCTGTGTTAGGGATGGGTTCTTCGCTCTACAGGGAGCAGAAAATGGATTCCCTATGGAAGATCTTCGCTGGACGAGCAGGTATTTCGCCCACTGGAACACATTGAACGGTTTTCAATGCATTTCAATGGGCTTTTTAATTTCGCTTGACTACCATTTCGCAGGAACAGATTAACATCATCAAGCGAGGCACCACTGTACTAATGTTTCTCTGGAACAGGGCCATGAAATTAACTGTCTGGAAAACTGAATATGGGTCCTTTGCTCCTGGACACAATGTTGTTATCTGATTAAACGGTTAAATTGGAAGCAACCTCTCTAAACAAGGGGCAGAAATCAGGATCAAAATATGATTCTCTGAATGGGACAATTACTTTCTTTCATTAACATGGATGCATTGCCTTCTTCACCTCTCAGTTCTCCTATGTTTATGACATGGGTCTGCCCCCTAGATTATGCATCAGTGTTAAACAGCATGTGTAGGACAGGGACACCCATCAGGTATTACCAAGCATCTACCTTCACATGCACCTAGTTGGCACACCAGAACTCAATGGAAAATGACAATATGGCACATTCCACCAATCCTGTTACACACACATACACACACACACACACACTTGTACTACAACTCCCACAGTTCCTCACTATTGTATATGTTGGCTAGAACTGATGAGTTTTAGGCTAAAACATCTGAAGGGTCACAGCTGCTCACACCTCCTGCACAGAATCTTCCATATGACACACACACACACACACACACTTGTACTAGAACTCCCACAGTTCCTCACTATTGTATATGTTGGCTAGAACTGATGAGTTTTAGGCTAAAACATCTGAAGGGTCACAGCTGCTCACACCTCCTGCACAGAATCTTCCATATGGAACTATATTGGAAGCAACCCTCTAATGTTTAAAATACTTTCCAATATTTATATCAATGATATTCAAACTTTAAGTATTTTGATGGCAAAGGCTGTTCTCTCTGAAGACTTTATATGATGAATGTCTGCAGTAAGACCACCAGCACTTATCACACAGATAAAAAACGGTTGCTATATACATTGATCTGGTGCTCAAATAGAACAGATTACTGTATAAGCATGCCTGTAAAAGAAGAGGTCCCAACGAATCCTTATCAATAACACCTTGACCTGTTGAAGATACATCAGCCTTCTGAACATCATCATCAGTAGAAGATGTTTTTCCTGAAATCAGAAACAAATCTTTAAAATGGCACTGTAACTACAGTATCTTATTTTCTTCAAAAATTACAGTGAAAACATAATGAATTCATGGAAAAAATCTGAGAATAAATCCAGTGACCGTAACACATTTTCAGAAGACCTTCCTCTTCATTATGAGATAAATGAATCCAACCTATTATACGGAATCTTTCGGACCAGTAGAGGCAACTGTAAACCTCATGATTTCTGAGAGTGTACTTCCTTTAATCCCACATTACTGGCAAAGACTGATGGAAGTTGTAGATTCTGATCCTTCATGTTTGGGCAGATTCAAAACGGGATGCTGGGGGAACACTGATCAACACTGTGTCTTATGACACCTTAGGACTCAACCATACTCCCAATTATATTTAAAATGTATATAGAACCACGAAAGAAGTCATTCAAAGCTCTAGACTGAGGTGCCACCAAGATGCTGATGGCATTCAGTTCTATTGCTCCTCATCCCCTAACATGAAGGGAGCAATCAAGACCCTTGAATACTGCTGGAGCTCAATAGTAGGTTGGATGAGGGCGAAAAAACTAATTCCTGACAAGATAGAGGTGTTGCTGTCTATTAAAAAAACAGGCTCAAGGATTAGCATGCAATCCACAGAAGAGATTGCACTCTCACAAACAGGGCAGCTTTGTAGTTAAGAGTATTAGTTGATTCTGTGGCCATGGTTTTCAATGCATTCCTATGGGAAATGCAGATTCAACATAAGAACTTTTCAACTTGAGAACCACCTTCCAATACGGATTAAGTTCTTAAGTAGAGACCCCACTGTATTAGTTGATTCTGTGGCACTGTTGGATTCCCAGGTGGCAATGATAACAAGAAGTGCCCTTGTATAATCCCCTTCTGTGCACTAGTTATGACCTCTCCTCAGATGATCTGACAATAGTTAAAAATCTCTTAGTTACATTGCATTTTTGACTACCAGAATGTGGACTACATGAGGAAAAAGAGAACTACACAGAAAGAGAAAGAAACCTATGACCCTGAAAGAAATCTATGAGCTTAAAATTTGCTTTCTGAACTCATGGTAGAAGAATTTGCGGATGCTCAGAATGTTATTGACTTGTCCCTACAAGACCTATTGTCCTACAAATACTACAAGAGAAATAAATGTAAAATTAGGATTCAAAATTAGGATTCAGAGCTTCATCATATCGATATTTGTCAGTTAGTCCTTCATTTTGTACATTCTGCTCGCAAATTATGATCCATTTGTTATAGCTTTTTTGATTACTGTAAACTCATAGTAAGCAATCAAATGCTTAAAAAAGAACAAAAATATAACACATCTCTTACATAAAAGCTAGACATAAACTGATTCCACATATAACTATTTGAAAATGCAGTAATTTTTATATAATGGTATATAATGTTTCCTTTACAATTTAAAAATCCAAGACTTGCCTTGTTCTTTTATCTGTCTGATCTGTCTAACAGTTTCCTTTAAAATTGCACATTTATCCGGTTTGACATTGAAATTGTCAATGTCACTCAGATTAGCAGATATCAGCTCAGCTAGTTCTTCAATATACTTGCTTTCCTGTTCACGACGGCGTTTCTCTCCACTGCAGATCAAACTACAAAGACATATTTATATGTGGTTAAATTGTGTGGTTGTAGAAATTTTCACATAAATTGTCGAACTATTAAAGGTACCTACATACATATGGTTTCATATTTCACTGTAAGTCACACTAAATACATAGCAAGAAGGAATAAAAACGTTTTACAAAATTAAGAGTTCAACAAATGGAGATTGCTGAGTCAAATCAAGTGTATCAGAACCAACAGTCTACCACTCAAAAGCCACTCGAACTTCCTAATAGCTAAAAGTGGCCATGAAGAAAACAAATTGATAAGCAAAAATACTCCTTAAAGTTCACATCAACAGGAACCAATGAAAATAAGACAATAATAAACTGTGGCTAGAGAAACACGGGGCAGGGGTGTGAGATCTGTGACCCCCTTAAGGGGTTCATAACATACTGGCCAGCCTATAAACACCTAGCTGGCCATAGGCTCCTAGCTCCTGCAGTAGGGAAAGACACCATAACAGGAATACTTCTCAGAAATTCCAGCCTCATAAGGGCCATCTTCCATATGGCCAATTCTGAGTGGTACAGACCCACAAAAACACAGAAGGGAATTTAAGAAATCAGGGAGCAATCTGTAAAAGCTGAATGTGTCATATGTGAGTTGTCACCCTATAATCACAACTATGGACACTCTTGTTAAACCCACTGTGAACTGTGTAATTTTCCAAAAATTTATAGGAACAAGTTTTTTCATGAAATTTATATATGTATTCTCTATAATCTTTGAAGAAAACTCTTTTTAAATATTTTTTAAATATTTAATATTTTTAAAATATTTTTATGAAAAAGTATATGGAGGTAAAGTTAAGTAGCAATTTCTCCCTGCAATAATACGGTCGGCACGTTTCACATGAATGGATTACATTATATTAAGTTATGTCTCTAATAACTTACATTTCCTTTTACATACTAAAAATAATTTACTATCTGTAAATGTCTCATTAAAAAAAATTAAAAATACTCTCTACCCTGGTCCCGGGGTGTCACAGGGCAATGGCTTGCGCTTTCTTGAATCACTGGTCATGCTGTCCAAGGAGTTGTCCCCTAATCCACTCATTCTGAGCATGCATCAGCAACTGAAACAGTCAAGCAATAACCAAGTTGATTTTTTTCCAGAAATAAAACACAGTCGTGTTCAAAAACAGCAAAGTTAGAGTTTGGTTAAACTTTCAGAATCACAGAATTGCAAGTGATTTGAAGATCATTCAGTTTGGCGGTTTCAACAAAGGACACTGGAGAGCGTCAATTAAATGACAGCAGTGAAGATGACCCATGAATAAGCAACTAACAAAAGAATATACCATCACTGCCCATTTGTATAATAACAGTTTAGGGCTCAGTTTCAGGAAGAATACCAGCAAGATCCAAGGAGTTATCTGACACTGTAATTTAAGAATGGCATTGCTTTTAGATGTTTTCCCAGTCTTACCACTGTACAATTGGAAGATGCCAAGCAGACCATGGATTAGACGCTTATAAGGTCAGCTGCGGAAGTTATATGCAAAGGCCTTGACAGGTTTTCCTACCAAGGGAGCTGGATGGGTATCACTAACTAGAAAGAAAGCAGCTCCAAAAGTAATGGTGGCCAAGTAAACACAACATGACTTTTGGGTCTTCCTTTCAGCTGATTGATATTTCTTCCAGTCAAGATGGAGGATGTATTAAAAAGAGATCAAACACAGGATCTGCTAGCTGCTTTCTGTCCTGTTCATGCAATGTAAGAGTGAAGGTCTAAAAAAACAAGCCCTTGTTTATACACAGAAAATTCTCTAGCATGCAGATATTCTGTGTTAAGGCATTTAGAATTTCTACAACACAAGAGATTACAAAATATATGTTTTCTGAAGATAGTAGTAAGTTTGAAACCCATTTATGTTATTCAAATATAAGTAGGATGCCACCGCTCTCTAAAACAAGTATGTAAAATCTTTAGTATTACTATCTGCACAGAATTACACACACAAACACACAAAATTAATTTTTACCCTACATAGCAAATTTTCATTGTGTTTGAAACTCTACTGTGTAACAACAAATATAGACCACAATTCCAAAACTATTTTTCACTATAATCTGATCTAACTAGTATCCTTCACATTTCAGTTAACTAAAGGCTTAAGTTATTCACAGATTAAATCACAGCATTCAGATTTTGTAACTTTCAGTTTACATAAATTAGAAATTAAACAAGGTGCATCACACTAGTAACATAATTATCATTGTCATCATCTTAGAACTGCAGAGCTGGAAGGCATTGTATGGATCATTGAGTCCAGCCCCTGTCAAGGAGGCACAGTGGGAAATTGAACTCCAAACCTCTGGCTCTGCAGCCAGATGCCTAAACCACTGAACGATCCAACATTTCATATCAGTAACAAATAGAAAATACTCCATACGTTTCACACAGTTGAGTAAAAAAAGCTCAAGATAGCAAAATAAAATGAAGAAGAAAACCACACACACACAGAGAGAGAGAGAGAGAGAGAGAGAGAGAGAGAGAGAGAGAGAGAGAGAGAACTTTGGCTAATATATCAGAACATATTCAGGGTAGTATAATCCTTTACTTGTGCAACCAGAAGCAAAACCTATCTACCACCTTCTTCAATGAGACAGGATATGTCTCTCTACTAATACACTGGATCAATTTAAATGTCATGAAATGGAGCACCAAAGCATGATTGGATAGCAGTGGTGCCATGGAAAATGGATACATGACAGAGGAGGACACTTTCCATCTCTATCATAATATCATTATAAATTCTGTTATGATTGTATTCTATCCCACTATTTGAAACTATTCAAAATATGTGGTGGTATCTGTTGTAATATTTTCATTCTCTCCTGTGGGAGGATATTCTAACCATAGGCTGTCTATCCCACTCTAACAGGCAGAAATTTTCGAAACAATCATATGGGCCCTAAGCACACTCTAGGAGTAGAAACCCAGGAACCCCAGTACCACCCGCAAAGCAGAGCTTCATCATATCGATACTTGGCAGAACACCTACTCCCACCAAGTTCTACCCGTGTCACTCGTGCGAGCCAGGAGGTGAGGCTGAGGAGCCTGACGCCGAGGGAGGCCCAGAAGGAAAAAACAAGAAACCAGGCCTTCTCAGTGGTGGCTCCTCGCCTCTGGAACAACCTACCTCCAGAGATTCGCACAGCCCCTTGCAGGGTATCTTTAAAAATCAACTAAAAATGTGGATGTTTCGGCAGGCCTTCCCTCCAGTTAATCCCTGATGCTTTCCTTTCCTCTTTTCTCTTATTGTTCGCCTTCTTGTTGAATCTGTTTATTACGTAATAATCCTTTTTGTATTTATATGAGTATTTTATGTTGTAAGCCGCCTAGAGTGGTCGTAATTGACCAGATAGGCAGGAGCAATCCATATCCTGTCCAAGTACAGTGGGGTCTCGACTTATGAACTTAATCCGTATTGGAAGGCAGTTCTCAGGTCGAAAAGTTCTTAAGTCGAATCTGCATTTCCCATAGGAATGCATTGAAAACCATTTAATCCCTATCTGCTCTTTTCGTCCATAGAAACTAATGGGAAGCTGCTATTCCGCCTTCTGCCACTAGAGGGGGATATTTTTTTCTTTTTTTCCTTTTAACCTAAGATGACTTAGCTTTTAAAAAAAGGAAAAAAAGTTCGTAACTCGAATCTAAGTTCGTAAGTCGAGTCCATATATTCCTATGAGAGCAGTTCGTAAGTCGAAACGTTCGTATGTCGAGCCGTTCGTAAGTCGAGACCCCACTGTACTCAAAGGCAAAAATCCTGTTGATTAGTATAAGCTAAACATTAACTTTTGGTCCATTCCTCCTCAGTAAACAAAACATTTCTGATGCAATTTTTGAGGGCAGGGGAGACACATGCATACTGACAGTGTGTGTGTCTGCCCCCCCCCCAATAATCACAGCAGGGATTACTTGTTTTCCAGGAAGGAACAGACCAGAAGTTACAATTTGCCTTACAATAGGCAACAGTATTTCAGCCAATAAGTAAGTTTCCCGTAGTGCTCCTACTACTCATACTGGTGGGAACACGTGTCCTCATTTCACTGTAGAACAAGGGCCCCCACCCCCCTGGTCCGTGGCCCAGTACAGGGCCGTGGTCCTGGCAGGACCAGGCCGTAGAGACAGATGACCACACACACACACTCCACCCCCCGTGCATGCACATGAGTGTGCCCTGCCCCCGCAAGCATGCCCTTCTACCCGCGTGCATGCTCCCCATCCCCCCGCATGCATGTCTCACCACCCACGAGCAGACACCCCCCCGCATCTGCATGCGAGTGTGCCCCCACCCCCTGTGGGCGGTGCCCTGCGAATGGAGTCTGCTGCCCCAACTGGTCCACAGTTGGGAAAAGGTTAGGGGCCACTGCTGTAGAGAACTAACGTTTTATGGTCAGTACCAACATACCTTTCTCTTACAGTAAAGCAAGGCATCCTTGCCATAGGTTATACCCAATTTCAAATTGTCCCTGGTTGGTTCTAATATTGCAAATTCCGACCTCTGAAGAGACTGCTCCTGATCTCCTGCTTTCACCAGCTGCTATAAAACTCCTGCAGAGCTTTGTTGGTGCAGTGGGGATGAAGTCACTGGCATAGTGCTGCTAATTCAAGAGTTCTTTCTTCTATATCAGGGTACACAAGAGTTCTGCAAGTGGACACCAGCCCGTATGTCCAAAGGAGGCATTCTCTGACACAAAATTATTTAGCTAATAATGTTTCACAAAAGATGAAGGACCCATCCAAGTAGCAGGTCTATACATGTCAAAAAGAGAACCCTTGGTATATATACCATCCAAGCAGCCAGTTTCCAGTAGAGTATGCCCAGTTAGAAAGGAAACAAAGAGGACAAGTGGCATGAATACTGATGAAACATAGCTAAATGAACATAATTCATTTGAAAGAATGGCTAGACATCAGCAGCGAGGCTTTGGCAAACCTGGGAAGTTGTTGATTACATCCCATGAGAGCAATCGTGTGTGTGTGTGTGTGCGTGTGTGTGTGTGTGTGTGTGGCTTTGAGAATGCATATTGTATGGTACAGGTATTCTTGGTTCTGCTATGTGTTACAGCTTTCATGTTTGGCTTTGCTCACTGTTCATTCAGTGCGAATGGGTTCACTAACACTGGGTACACTAGTTGGCAGTTTTTTTGGGAGGGGATAATGTGATGTAAAATGTTTTGTTCTAATAATAATAAAGTTTAGAAATAGTATATTTACATGACAATAAACAATGCGAGAGTACAAAAAAATCCCTGTAAATTACAGACTTGCCAGTAGATGGGAGGACAGTACCAGGTAATTACATCAGTCACATTTAAAGCAGAGAAAAATCATGAAAAGATTGTCCTTTTGAGATAGAAAGAGTAAGCATTTGTAAATGCAGCTGAGCAAAAGATAGAGATAAAAATTATGCAAAAACTTGTAGTTACGACTTATGTATTTTTATGGTTTTATGTATCTATTTTAGAGGTAGCATTGTGTAGAATAATGTATTGGATTCTGCTCTCATAGCATCTACATTCCTTGACATACATCAGCTGAAATCCTCTTGCCATAATGTCATTCAGCCTATGATGTTCATTTTTAACCCTCTCCCCTTTGAAAGCATCTGGGAGCTTTGAGACAAGGGAGAACTTTTAATATCCAAAGGTCTCTTCCAGAGCACTTCTACCCGGTTTGGGACCACTGGCGGCAATCTGACAATGATTTCTACATCCCAATCCCATTTTAAGGCTCTCAAAGGCTTCCCCAAGTCAAAAATCCCCAGGGAGTATCCCAACTAGAATAAGGAAGATAGGAAGGTTTAAATTAAATTAAAGATTAACGTCACAGGCTGATGATTTCACAACTATGCTGATGTAGTAAGAAGGGAATGCCAAACTTACCTAGAAAACCCTGAAAAGGGTTCAGAATCAACTTGACAGCACACCAGAGTGGATGGGATTTGAATTAATTTAATTTACATTTTTAAAAATTAGATTTATTTATGATTTAATTTTAAAAAAAATTTTTAAATTTACACCATGATTTAAATAATGGTTAAAATTATGATTTAAATCAATTTGA